GTACTTGAAGAACACCTCCAGATTCATCCCCCCTATGAAACAAGTGTGCGTGCTTTAGCCGGTTGATGACGCCCCCCGCCATCGAGTTCGCTTCCCCCTGCACCTCCGTCATGAACCGTCGCAGTTCGTCAGCTTCCATAACCTATACAATCGTCGCGAAATTCTCAATCCGAACAAACAATTAACAAATCGAACAACTGAAAACGTAATTGAAATCAAACAACGGAAAACACGAAGGAGCGGTGGGTGGGTGGAGATGGTGCCGCGAAGGAGCGGTGGGGAAGGAGAATAGCGGTGAATTGAAGAAGAAGAAGATGAGAGAGAGAGAGAGGGAGGGGAAGAGAAAAGAAGAAGAATGGAGAGAGAGAGCGTGTGATAATTATAGATCCCAAGAAATCTGCTTTTACCATATTTAAAAACAATTATATGTTGTTTAATAATCTGGTATGTTTGTAAATAAATATAAAAGTTTTAGTTAATTTGCAAAAAAATATATACCAATTGTAATTATGCAATAAAAATATTAATGTGTAGTGGAGGATGCAATTTCCTCAATTCTGTTTATGCTTATAATCATGTATGTTACCTTAACTTTGAAGTGAACTTAGAGACTTTGCATAAACTTTCATTGTTATGTGACCCAAATTAACGAATTTGTTTCACACCCGTCACCACATATCAGGCCCAAGGCCACAGCCGGCCCAAATGTATTTGATTTAGCCGTGTTCATCTTCTGCCAAAGAAAGAGCCCAACACACATGTCAATTGGTCTGGGCTTTCCACATATTTTTGTGTTCTACTTAAATGTGCCTGCAAATTTCGTTAATCTTTTAACAATGGCAGTCAATATATACTACCTTAGATTCATTTGAAAATTCTATCTGCAGTGCACATATCTCGCTATTCAAGTGCATTGTATTCATGCCTAAAAACTAAGACAAATATCAGAAAAACAACCGCCAAGAATAATATATACGAAATAGAAACAGGAAACAAGTGTGTTATAACGACGCTGTTTTGGCATTGAGCAACAAAAAAAAGCTATAAAGACTTGGAAAAAAAAAAACTATAAAGACTTGGAGGCACGATGGTGAGGACGAAGTGCCATAAGCCAGGTGGGAGGCATCACAGGAATGCACACAAGACGCTCATCCTTATACCACGCATAATTACTAACCTTAATGTATTCTTGAAGCACACCTAGTATCTCCAAGCTTCCATCCATTAAATTATACTCAAAAATATTTCTACCCCACACCAAAATGAGTGCTTCATTATTCAATGGATGAGTAAAACCACCCACAAACTCCTCCTCCCCCTCCTTGTTGACGGGATCTTTCAAATTTTTTCTGTCCTCGACAAGAATCCACTCACTACCATTATTTAATCTCCATGCCTTAAGATTAATCATTCCTTTCACTGATGTGTTTACAAATTGTAGCAACCACAATTCACCACTCACAACCCCAATCTGAGTTTTGACGTGATCACCCTTAAATCCACCTCTGATCCGATGATGCTTCCGTAGATCCATTGTACGCCTCGGATACCACCAATAATCATCGGGGAAGTCTAAGGTGCCGACTTTATTGTCATTCCGCAAGTCTAATGAAAGAACCCTATTCATATAAAAGTCATGCTCCAACCAATACACGACCCCATTGCATGTAATCATTTCCAACCAATGAACCCCCCTTCGTTCACGGGGGTTCGGATATTCCAAGCATTTACTTTCCCACGTTCCTGTCTTGGAAGAAAATATCATCACATTCTGGCTACAAACACGGATGGAATTACGCAGCCTACCAAGAACAACGATCTTAAATTCGTTGTTAGGCATGCATATTAATGCCTGTCCACTACATGCCAAATATCGATCAGTTTGAGGTATCTCCGGGAGCTGATAAAATTGTCTTGTTATCGGATTGCAAATGTAGTAGATATGTGTCCAAGAGTCGAGATGAGGAGAGACAAGCAATAAATCATTGCAGGATGCTCTTATGACCATTGGCGAAGGCAAGAAGTCCAAATAATTAGTAGCAATATTCGATGTTTGACGAAGAAACATTGACTCCTCTGAAGAAAGCTTGCAAACTGGTTGAAAATGTGAGAGAGTAAAGTGCTTGTTAAGAAAACCCAAATAATAGGCTCTACAAAATATGACTGTGCATGGTTGTGGATAGCGGCCCTTGTGCTCATTATGATGTGATATGAATTTACTGATAGAACGTGGCCTCGAAATTAAAGACTGCCAATTGCGACAGACAGCGCCAAAGAGAATGGCAGACTGATAGTTCGGGAGGCGGACAAATATCTCCAACAATATGTCTTCATCTACTTCTTCAAGAAAACTGGATACTGGCACATTTAAGAGGGAGAAGTGAACAGTTAAAATGCAAGTACGATGGCATAATATTTATTAATATAGGCATGTGCTTACGTGGTTTTAAATCATGATGCTCGTTCTGAATGTGCCTAATCAATCTCTTTCGCTTCCTCTGCAAATAAACAAGCATGAGTACTATAAACAATGTATTACATTAAAGCTGGTGTTGTATGAGTACTAAAGCAGGCGTAAAGAAGGCTGAAGAGAGAATTTCTATTATGTGGACTCATCAGGCGTTCGAGGATCGAGTTATCCTTAAACCCGGCTCACTATTTCTGTTTTCCTTGATTAATGAAAAATCATCCTAATGCGAGTACGAGTGAAAATACTCTTTGTTAAGCCTTCCGTACTAATCATTATTCATTGCATAGTAACCTAAGGACTTTTTTTTTTTTTAGGAAAATCGATGGAACGAGCAAGTGGGAGAAGCGAAAGAACTTCATATTCGAGTCATGGCATTCTCATAAATTCTATTACATCACATAATAACTTTTGTACCTTTTTAACACAAATTTGGATTCTTTTTGCACAAATTTGAAGAATCTAATCCTCAATTTAACACAAACTTTCTATTAAGCCATGAGATTTCTTTAAGTTTCTATTACTTCACTGAATAGAAACATTGAAATACATGCTCTCAACATCAACATCAACATCAACATACCCAGAAAAAACAGTGACTTTCTGATTCATATGAAAGCTGTAAAAAAACACAGAGGCAAAAGAGCATTATTACATCAATATCAGAAGCCCCTATGGGCCGATGGAGAGAGGGAGAGAGCAAACCTAGAGGGGCGATGGTATGTAAATCAGTTGAATTGAATAAAATTGTGGTAGTTATATTAATAAGATTTTGTACTTTTTACAATTGATTTTTAAATTTAAATTATAATTATATTTTGCAATGTGCATAGGCCTTCATATTGGCTGGATGTCCAACAAAACAGAAGAACAAATAATTTATTATTCAAGGATAAAAACTAATTTTGTTTAAAATTAAGTAATTAAATTTCTTTTGGTATTGTGGAAATTGCGTTTACAATTTTCGAAAAACTGAACCAACTGAATTATTAATAAATCAAATGATTCGAAGTTAATCCTCTTGATTAAATGATTTTTTTAAGATACATATAAAAAAAATATTTTTGTATATGGTTGGTTATCAAATGAATAAGAAATCACCGTGATTTTTTATTAATGTTGATAAATAAGATTATATTGTAACGTTGTGATAAATATCATAATAATTTTTTTTCATAATTGATTGTCAATTTTAATTTTGTAACTATTTTTTCAAATTTTTCATGAAAAACACCTATTAGATAGATAGTTTTCTGTAGACATGGTGTATGGTTGGTTACCAAAATAGTATAAAATTCTAATAATTCGTAATCAATACGAAAAATCAGATTTTTTTTGGCGATAATTATCACAAAATAATTTTTATAATGGATACCACTTTATTTAATTGCACGATTTACAACATTTCCGTATAATTTGTTTTTTTATTTTTTTGTAAATTTTAAAGTAACTTTTTTAATATTTTCTTTAATAGTAAGTCAACTCATTTAATTACACCAAAATTAAAAATTACTATTTTAGTTTTTTTCTATCAATCTATTTCAATATATAAATTATTTTATTCAACTTGAGAAGGCATTAGTGACTTCAATGTCCAGACACACCAAACCCATATCATTCCACAGTCCACAAAAATCCTGTCTACTTCCAGCTTTCCTTGAACTAACAATCTTCATCAAAATAAAATTAAAAAAAAAAATAAATTATGGATTCATCTAAAGACAGTGTCACTATCTCCTGCCAAGAAACCCTCCTTCCCAACAATGACCAACACACAAATACCAAGAATCCAAAAGCAATTTCCTTATAAACCATGCTCCTCTTAATCCTCCTCATCAGTCATCATAAGCTCCACCATCTTCTCCTCCATTTCCAATAAAAAGCCATCCAAACGGCTCGACTCGTACGAAACGAGCTCGGCCCAATACTACTGCCACCTCACCACGTACCGCGCCCTATGCTACGACTCCATGTCATCACTCCTGAACTCAACCGTGCTCAAGTCGGGCCCGGGCCCAATTTTCTCGGCCTCCCTTCAAGTCGCGATCGAGCTACTCCACGAAACCGAGGCTCTCATATCCGAAACGAGTCGCTGACCTTGTTGGGCGTTGACTCGGACGTGGGGTCGTTGACCTACGATGAGATGGACAGCATCAAGGCTCGGAATTTGGCGGGCATGGGCGGGGCTTCCGTGTGTTCGTCGGCGTTGGAGGAGATAGGTGACGTGGATTTGAAGGAGAGGATTGGAGTGGAGGCAGTGAAGATTGGAGTGGAGAAAGCAAGGAAGTGTATTGTTAACAGCATTGAGTTGTTGCCTTGTTGGATAGTAGAGAGACCATATTGAGGATTTTTATAATCCTTTTCACGAGTATGATGATTCTTATTATTATTACAGTTTGGAGTATTACAATTTTGATTATCGCTTTGTTGTTTGTTTGTATTTTGGGTTGTACTTGTTCTGGCGAGGCAATTAAAATGATAAATGATATGAAAAGTCAATTGTTTTGTGACTAATAGTAATTTTGGGCTCATTATTGACCATTTGAATTTTCAACTAGTCAAAAGACATACCACGGATGATTAAGCCACCTTACTACTCAAGAACTAGTCAATTTGTTGACCATTGATGAACTCAAACTGACCCGGGAAAGACTAAGGGGGTGATTGTTTATGGATTAACCCAAGAAAAAACTAATCAAAACAAATTTAACTCAACTCACTATCTCCAATATTATCAATATAATTTAAATAATATCAACCTGATATAGGATATTATACTAGACTGGGTTAATGGATAAAGCGAATACATATTGAAGGATAAGCCCACTAAGACATCTAAGCATAGCGATATGGGTCAAGCCGGCCCAAAAGATACACTCTCCTGTAAAAGGGGGCCAAGGTATCTCATTCTCTCTATCAATTCCATACTACACTCCCTCTCTTGATCTGAGCACTGACTTAGGCATCAGAGGCCCGACGCCGGAGCCACCCCGGCGTTGGGTTCTTGCAGGTACGGAGGCCGGTCGAGTTGAATGAGCCCGGGTGAAATCTATTCACTTCACAACCAATCATTCAATTAATCATTCTTACATATCACATCAACTTTAACTCATTATTCATCCACTCACATAATTTTAACTAACAATCACTTCCAATCATTTTTCTCTTACTTTTACATCATATCAACTTTAATTATTTTATTTTAAATATTATTTTAATATATCCACTAACAACTAACTATACCAACTTTTTTTCAAAATTAACTATTGTTAAAAAAAAAAAACCAATTAATTTCTAGATGAATTCATAAACAATCACCCCTAAGGGCCATTTCAACGAATCTTGTTGAAAATTATGAATTGCATTCAATACCTCTCTACTATATGCAGATACATGTCACTCCGCTGCTTGCAATACCTAGCTTTATGTACAAATATTCGACACAATCACCGTCCTCGAGTCCGTAGTAAGTAAACCAAATGAAGATTCGAATTTCACGCTTTCCCTCCAAAAGCCCGCCGAGCAAATCGAAAACCTCATTTCCTTGATCTCATCGGCAAATAGTTGCTTTGCCAAAGATGGCGATTGCCTTAGAAAAATGTTTGAATTCATTGCAGAGCAGGTTAGGTTGGGTTCGGGCCCATTCGCGAGTCGACCCGACTAAGGTGAATACAATAATAGTCAAAGGGATAGGCATAATGGGACGGTTGACCGGATCATTGAGCATATGAGATCATGCCTCGATTATCTAAGGCGGGTGGATCCAACGGATGGGAGTGAAATGAAGTCTTATGAGGAGACTTTTTCAAGGTCAATGAAGAAGACTATTGGCACGAATTGTAGGGTGAGATTGTTATCTCATGAATCTTCTTCCATTTGCTTCTGGTTTCACTTGTGTCATGACATCACCCAACACCAGAAGTTCTAACAAAACTCCCAATCCTCAGAAAAATGCAATCACCTTCACAAAACTCCGAAAAAGAAACAAAATCACGATTATCGTCCTAACCTCTTTTCTAATCACATTAACACTAATCACGGGCGCCTTAATGACCTACCTATCGCATAGCAACACGTGGCCGTCAGAAAACTCGGTCCCCTTCAATAATCTCGTGCTTTTCTACTCCGGCCCTTGCCGTGCCCAGCCTTGCTGGAGAGTACACAACACTATCATCAACACAAGATCCATATTTGAACCGGACCGGGTTTTCAATCTCGTCCTCCAAAAATCGGTCCAAGATCTTGAAGACATTATCTCCTTGATTAATGGCGGGCCAAGCATACAAATGCGGGCCGATTCACAGCACATGAATGTGAGGTAAGCCAGATCAAGAACTCAGATAAAAAAGTAATTTTGTAAGTCAACATTTAGTCTAATCTCACTGCCAATGTTTCCGGTTCAAGCAGCGATGACGGTGATAAAAATCGGACCGCTTTACAAAACTGTGTGGACTCGTTGCGCAACGGATCGGGTCAAATCGGGTCCGTTTTCCAAATCAGCCCGTTTCTGGGGATGCAGAGTGGCGAGCAAAGGGGTGAGACGATTAAACGGATCATGGCCGCGGAGGAGAATCTCGAAGCGTGCGCTCGTGGCCTGGAGAATGACGTGGACGAATGGACGGCCAGGATTGGATTGAGGGAGAAGGTGCTCCGAGTGAAGGTGCACCTGAGAAGCAGCAGGGAAAATTTTTTTACGGATGAGTACGACGACGTTTGGGTCAAGTTTTGGAACGATTTTGTGGCTAAATGGCGGATGACGTATGGGGACGCGTTTCTCGTTTTCGTGGGTGGGATCCAGCTGCTGTTCATGTTTTTCTTGGTTTGGACCCTCTTCAAATTCTGTTGTAGGTAAAGCATGAGAAAATGGGCCGACCCAATTATGCTCCTGAGCCCAATTATGCTACCGGGCCCAAATGCCTCGTGGAAATAGCTTTTATTTTTATTTTTATTGAGCACAAAATTACATTTGAGTTGCTTAGGAAATATCAAGGATGAATCTTATGTTGCCTCCGGTACGTTACATCAAATTATGTGAGGGAATTTTTCCATGGCTTTTATGGACTTGAAAGATCAAATAGAGTAATATAAAATCAAACGAAAATTTATTCAATCCTAAAATTATTTACGTCAAATAATTAAGAATCAATCAGGTAAAAGAGTAGAAGCATACTTGAATTCATGATATGAGAATTCTTATGTTCTTAATTAGTTTGATGGATAGTGTGGACTTTCAATTATTTTAGAATTATTACGAGGATGATTGGATATCAAAATTTTTGGTTTTGTTTGAATTTTTTATTTGGTTTGGTTAGTTTTGAAAAAGTTGGTATGGTTAGTTGTTAGTGGATATATTAAAATAATATTTAAAATTAAATGATTAAAGTTGATTTGATGTAAAGTAAGAGAGAGGAGATTTGAAGTGATGGTTAGTTAAAATTATGTGAGTAGATGAATAGTGAATTAAGGTGATGTGGTGTGTAAGAATGATTGATTTGATATTATTTAATTATATTGATAATATTGATGATAGTGGGATTGAGTTAAAATTGAGTTAAAAAGTGGTTGAGTTAAAAATGTTTGGATTTTTTTGAGATAATTTTGTATCCAAGCATGCTCTATATTCTTTAGTTTGTTGGACTTGTGTGGACTTTCAAACGATCGAAAACTTACAACATGATAAGGGATATTATACCAGACCAGCATTAATGGATAAAAAAAATATTGGAAGAAGTCCACACACGGTCTAAGACACATGCATAATGGTATGGGTCAAGTCCAATTGGGCATTAAGGTACACTCCCCTGATAAAAGAGAGCTAAAGTGTCTCAAAACCTCATTCTCTCTACCTTCATAACTATACTCTTGAGATTTGGAGTGATGCTGACTTAGGCATCGGATCCCCTCCCGGCTTTGGGTTCTTGCAAGTACGAAGGTCGTTCGAGTTAAAGGAGCCCTGGTGAAGCCTATTTCACCAACACTACATATATGTTTTGCAGATTTATTTATTTGCATGTGTATATTGTACATCGTATATCCTGCATCTGACGTTCGCTGGTGCTTTAAAGGGGAAAAATCTCTATGGAAGCCTACATAACCAAATAAATAAAATTTATTGATTTTCAGCTCAGTCCATAAAAAAAAACACAAAATTTCATAATGGTAGCACACTTTTAAATCCACACTAATTTGATACACTTTTTATCCAAAATTATAAAGTAGATCATTTTAATATAATTAATTGTATGAAAACTATACACATTTAATTAAATAAAATATGTCTAACAAAATCTCATTTCTACTGCATACGCAAACCGAACAAATGTGTATTACTTTAGGAGCTCAGAATTTGTTGACATATACAAGAGTATCATTTTCCATTCTCGTCCATTAATTGTGACATAGGACTAAAGAGGTTTTCATCATTTTAAGCATGAATCAACTCGTCTATAGTCAAATATACCAATACAATCAAATGACATAGATCAATCATGAAAGTCTAGCATTAAAATTACATCTAATGTGATATTTCAAGCCTATTTTCAACTAGCCACTTTATTCCTTAGTGAGGTTAGTACAAACTAAAAACTACAAAGTATAATTGGTGTGCAACGACCTCGATCTGCCTTACACGATTCGGATTTGCGTTTTGACCTGTTCGTAGAACTGCAAAAGGAGCTGGGAGGGTTCCCAGTGTTGGCATTCCGATGATGAAGTTAGTACACATAGATGAAGACAAATAAACAGTAGTTATAAAGCTCTGTAAGTATATAGTGTCTTGCCCAAGACTGCCCGTATTAGCTGCCCAGACTGCCCGAACTGCCCCTTCGCACTGCCTGAACTTCTTGAATTGCACAATTTTGTTAGCCCATGTAGTCCTATCCATGTGTGGTTCTTATCTCAATAATGTTTCTTCTTATCCTTTAGCCTTCTGTATTGGACGGTCTAATCGTAAGACCAAGCCTTTGTCAGCATGAGGTAGATCGTCTTCTCCATTAGGCTCGTTTGTCGTCCCCTAGGTCGAGCCTTCAACCAGAATACCCACAGATTGAGTTTCTATAAGGTTACCTGTGGGCTCTAGCTCACCCTGCAACATCCTCATCGACCTGAGGACTCTGTTCGACCGAGAGTTCTGTTCGACATCTCTGGCCACGTCTATTAGTGGGTATATTAAAATAATATTTAAAATAAATTGATTAAAATTAATTTGATGTAAAAGTATAAGAGAAAAATGTGATGTGATGGTTAGTTAAAATAATTTGAGTAGATGAATAATGAAATATGGTTGATGTTGTGTGTAAGAATAATTGATTGTATTATTTAATTATAGTGATAATATTAATAATAATGAGCTTGAGTTAAAATTGAATTAAAAAAAATGATTAAATTAAAAATATTTAGATTTTTTAGATGAAATTGTATTCCAACATCCTGTCTCACCTCAAAATGAAATAAATAAATAACAAAAGCAAATAGTAATATAATTTCTTGGGGGTGATTGTTTGTGAATTCAGCTAGTTTTTATTTGGTTTGTTTTTTTTAACTATAGTTAATTTTGAGAAAAAAATAGTATGATTAGTTGGTAGTGGATATATTAAAATAATATTTAAATAAAATAATTAAAGTTAATTTGATGAGAAAAATGATTGAACGTGATGATTAGTTAAAATTAGGTGAATGAATGAATAGTGAATTAAAATTGATGTGATGTGTAAGAATGATTGATTGATATTATTTAATTATACTTATAATATTTATAATATTGGAGATAATAAAATTAAGTTGAAGTTGAGTTAAATTTGAGTTTTGATCTATGTTGGATTTGATAACTAATCACCTCTTGATGGTTCAAGTAGTACTATAATTTATAACTCGCTTTTCAGTAGAGTTTTCTAAAATCCCATTTCAATCCCTTGCTCGGATCCCACTTTCAATTATATCGAATTCTCTGGTTTCAAGTCCTTTTGTGAACAGTCACAAACCAAAAGCTCCAAAACACATCCATCCATGGAGTCCATCAATTTCATCAAAGGCTACGGCAAAGTCAACCCCGCCGACGACCGCCCAAATCCTCCCCCAAACCCCCGCCGTAAAATCATCTTCGCCCTCTCACTCGCCGCCCTCCTCCTGATGACCGTCGCCATCGTCTCGCTCGTCGCCGTCGCCATCATCGAGTCAGCCACCGAGTCGGAAGAATCTGAGGCGCCATCTCAACAACTCGCCTCCAACTCGCTCCGCACCGTGTGCGCCGTGACTCGGTACCCCGACTCGTGCTTCTCCTCTATCTCCCCCCTCAACTCGCCTCCGTCGAGCAACCCCCTCCGGTTCTTCAACCTCTCCCTCCAGGCGAGCACGGCCTCGATCTCCTGTCTCAAGAGCCATCCCGCCGGCCCGGAGGCCGATCCGGCCATGAAGGACTGCGCCGAGCTGTTCGACGACGCGGCGAGTCAACTCGGACGTTCGGCTGATTCGATCCGCGTGGAGCGCGGGGAGAAGGTGCTGACGGAGACGAAGATCGGCGACCTGAAGACGTGGATCAGCGGCGCCATGACGGATCTGGAGACGTGCCTCGACGGGCTGTCGGAGACGGGATCGCCGGCGGCGGTGGGGGGTGAGTTCAGGGCGTGGGTGCAGAAGTCGCAGGAGCACACGAGCAACACCCTAGCAATCCTCAATAATATTCCGAGCCTCTGCAAGAAATTTGGCATCCCCATGCCCTGATGAAGAATATGATACTGTACAAATGTTTCTTGGTTGTTATGCTTTGATTGGGCCCTCGTATTTTTTTTTTTATTTTTTTTTTTGGAATATATATGCACTATAGCATTACACTGTTGTATTTGTGACATACTAATGTAACAGGTGCCAGAATTTGTTGTATGCATGATATTTGGGTTGTCTTTGTATCATCAATAAATGTTTTTTTGACATAATGGGGACCAAGGTTGCAAATGACTTGAGCGAATCATGAGCCGCTTGTGAGCACTCGTGCAGTTCAATTGAGCAAACGAGTCAAGTCTAGAATATCATTTCAAGAGCCTTGAGCAGTTATATTTACATAAATACTCTGCATAGTTTAATTATCAATATTAGAGCATCAATGCCAAAATTGTCAATTTAGATAAAAAAATAGTACCTTTATATTTAAATTTTAGGGGGTGTACCAACATGAGTTGACTCAAGTGGTAAACAATTTGATGTTGCTTAACAAAAATTTCAGGTTCGAGTCCGTGTGGATGTATAAAACATTGCTAGGTGTGCGACCTGGATCGACCAACGGATTATTCGGGACATAGCTCTGAATATCGTGGCTGACTACAAAAAAAAAATAGGGGGGGAGTGTATTCATTTGGGATTTTTAAAGATTTTTTAAGACGTTAGAAATCCTGGTGTATTCAGTTTAAATTTGTTTAGATTTTTTAAGTCTTTTACAAGTCTTTGTGTACTCAATTAAGATTTTAAAAAGTTTTACGAAATTGTGAGGTATTTAACTTATTTGAGATTAATATTTTTTAAGACTTTTTAAGATTTGGTGAGATTTCTAAATAAAAAAATCTTATACAAAATCTTTCTTCAAATTCCACTTTCATACTTAAAGATTTCACATAATTCCTCCAAAATATGAAGATTTTAAAAAATCTCAGATCTTAAAGTGTCTCAAAATATCATTTGAAAGCCCAATTAATTACACCCCCTTAGTTGAAAATTTCGAGTTGAACTTTGACCTGTGTCGAGCATCGAGTTGAGTTCAAGCATTATTTTTTTTTTCACGAGTTGAGTCAAACAACATTTTACATGGCTCGTCGAACTCGAGCAATGAAGAAAAAAGTTTTTTCTGCACTCTACTCGACTCGACTCGTTTGCAACCCTAGTGGGGTTGAATACATTCTGAGTAGACATGGGCATGGATCGGTCCAGCCCGTCGAACCTACCTGGAACCATATCTGAATCAACAGGCCCAATACAGAGCTCATAGTTTGGCCGAGCCAATTTCGAGCCACCTATTTATAAATTTTTGAACCAATGAGCCAAGTCAAGGTAGGCCTGGAAGCGGCCCTGTAGAAGGCCCACCAATATTTTTAATCTTCTTTTACAGTTTTTTATTATTTCAGGGCGGGCTAGACTGAGTTGGGCCAGACCATGATACTCGTTGGCAGTCTGACGGACCATATTGAATCTGGGTCGTTGGATTTTTTTATCGTTGGAGTTATGTAAATTAAAGTCGGTTTTGTGTCCGAATCGGCCCACCTAGAGCCGTCGACGGTCAGTTTTTCAAATCTAACTGTGGGATCATCTTGACCGTGGAGATCCAATGGTCGGGATCCAACAAGCCCGGAAGTGGTGATTTGGTTACAGAGAGTACGCCCCTTCACATCCATCATGGCGAGAGTATTACTATATACACAAGAAATAGGGTTAAAAAAAAAAAAAATGAAAAGCACTCGGTGAACAACTTCATTAAAATACATGTCCTCTGGCTATCACGATGTAAGGGGACTCCAATGGGATTCTCTTGTTTAGTTTGTGTGCTATGTCCTTGACATCTAGTCTACATAACACTTTGTTCCACTTCAATCTCATGGTCTTTTGTTGAATCCATCTAACTATGAGTCTTTCACTAGAGTTGTTGCAACCTCCCTAGAAGTACTTCAATCCATTTGATGATTTCCATTGTACAAATTTTCACCTATAGACAATTAGTTTAAATCTTTTACTTTTGTAATTAACAACGACTCCTTGTGGAAATTAGATTCATTAGTTAAATTAAAATTAAACATCAATTAAAACCTTATACTTTTGTAATTTTCAGAATAAAATACACATATTGATATTTGTACAACTATACGTCTATTTTGTTTTTCTTCGTTAACCACCATCCACTTGATGTTATAAGAAAGCATGAGATAACATCCTAAATAACATTAATTTTTATAATAATACTATATGATTTGTGTTTACTACTCTCATCGCTAAAAAATCGAGAAATAACTTATTAAGTACTTTTTTTTTAGTACAAAAAAGGAGGCTAAGGCCGAAAGATAGAAAACGACTAGACTAATACGCTCCGGAGATAGGACACCCCCATAAAATCGTGATTGAGCCATGACCCTACGCCTAGAGGCGGAGCCGACATATGGTGCAGCCCAAGAGAGTATGAATTCGCCAAGCTTGCCATGAAATTCGCCTTAAAATTAGCTTCCCTATGTACACGATGAATTCTTCTACTGACCATTAGTAGTTTACATTTAAAAAACCATGATTAATTACTAATACATATATAACCATGAAAACTCCAAAAAAAGGTGCTATGAGTGTGACACATGAAGGTTCACACATTGCTAGGGTAAAATCTAAAATGTGGGCGCGGCCAGCTGTTAATTGACTTATTATTATTTATTATCCAATTATCTTGTGAGTATACTTATTATATTTATTATCCAATCTAAAATGGTCACTTTCATTTTTTATTTATGACAAATAAATGGAGCATATTGTACATAAGTGGAATTTACCACTAATTATCCTTTCATTATTATATATGTATG